CTCACAACAAATGATTTGCGAGCACGCATGGATCTGTTGAGCTGATAATTGAGCAGCGTGTGCTGACCTGGCCTTTGTGTCTTTGGCTCTGTCCACAGAATTTTATCATCCTCTGCTAACAACAATGTCCTGTGAGTTGGGAATTCAAGGCTGTGTAGACACACTGATTCTTTTGTACTCTTGCTTAGAGACTTAAAGGAGGTTTATCTGTGTTAAAAGCACTAAAATTGCAGTTTTGTTAAGAAGCTGGTAGTTATCTGCATTGGGCACTAATACTTAGAATTTTTATTTGTAGTCCAATGTCAAAAAGGCTAATGTTAAAATCCTGAAAAATTTTGATGAAGCAATAATTGTAGATGCTGCAAGTCTGGATCCAGAATCTTTGTATCAACGAACATATGCAGGGTAAGGTTCATTTCAGTGTATTGTTTCCTTTCTGGTTACATGTTTCACCTCTGTTTCATTTTTGCTGTGTCCTCCTGCATGGAGAGTAGGCCTAAATGCAAGATCTTACTCCATGTCTTAATATTTGACAGTAACTTTATTTCAATAGTGTGATTTAACACCCAGTGAATGTTTCTTTGACCAAAATGGCAGCCAGGAAAATATTTCTAATTGGTTTTTCTCTTCCTCTTAGTTATTGTTCCTCTTTGATTCCAAAATGTAGCCAAGTATATAGCCAAATACAGCTTTCCATAATGCCAAAGTTCTTTTGATCACCCACATGGTTCTTCACTCCTCTCCTCAGGAAGATGACGTTTGGAAGAGTCAGTGACCTGGGGCAGTTCATCAGAGAATCTGAACCAGAGCCTGATGTCAAAAAATCAAAAGGTTTGCTTTGCTCTTTCTCTCAATTTCTGTAAACATCTGCAGAGCTGCTCTCTTCCCTGCTGGAGTTAAGATAGGCAGTGTTGACTCTTTCCAGATCTTTTTTAAGCTAAATAGAAATTCTGTGGGGATTGGCCTGTACTGAGGCAAAACCCATCTCTGGCCCAGCTTCCTGCCCAAATTCTGCTTTTCTGGTCCAGCTGGACTCCAGGGAGGATGAGCAGCCTGTGGGAGTTGGAGCTGTCAATGGAACCTGGCAGGGATGGAAGTGTCAGCAGCTGAGCTGGTGATCAAACCTTCAAAGCTTTGGTCTTGAGATGAAAAAGAGCTGCAGCTCTCCACATGCTTCCCACCCAGGCTGGGACCTGCTGCTGCTGCTGCTTTTCAGCTCTGGGGAAGGCTCAGTGTCCAAATGGCTGCAGGCAGTCCCTTGCTTTCCTGCCACTCCTCCATGTCCTGAATGGCAGCAGAGCAAACCCTTCACAAGGGTGGCAGGAATCAGCTTTGTGCCTCACTTTGCTGACATACCTTGCTTGCTGTTTTTATCTCAACCAGGGTCCATGTTTTCACAAGCAATGAAGAAATGGGTTCAAGGAAATACAGATGAGGTGTGTCCCTTTTCATGTTCTTCTTGTGACTTTACACTTCAGAGAAATAAAGCATTGATGTTCTTAATCCTGCCTGTTATCTCTGAGTATCTTTTTGCTGCACCAAGAACAGGGAGACTCTGTGTGCTAAATATAATTTGATTGCATGTATGTGTGAAACTGGTTTGCTCTTTGCCAGTGCTTGCTGGTTGAACTAATTAAGTGTGTGCTTGCAGTCAGGGTTTTTCTTTTTGTGGTTTTATTTATCTATAAGTAGGGGTGGAAGTGCTGTTTGAATGACCACTGCACATGGATTCCAGGCTGCATTTTTCCCCTCTGAGGGCCTTGGACAAATCCCCAAGAGATAAATCTAAAATCTCCACTAACTCTCTTGGAAATTGCATCAAGCCTTAAGTACAGTAATTGAAATTAACACTGTACTTGGAGGCCAGGTGTGTTTCCATCGAGGGAGGATGTGTTCATACAGGTTATGGAGTTGTGAAGGTTACCCTGAGTCCAAGGCTGTGCTGAGAGCACTGTGTTTGTCTTTGAAGAACCTGAAGCTATCTGTGTTTTGGGCTGTGTTTTTCAGGCTCAAGAAGAGATGGCTTGGAGAATAGCAAAGATGATTGTCAACGACGTCATGCAGCAGGCGCAGTGTGAGCAGCCCTTGGAGAAGGTCACCAAGGTAGGGGGGTGGAAAGGCTGCTGTCTTCATCTGGCTCCAGCCAGGCTGTGGGAGGAGCAGAGCTCTCACTTCTCTTCCTCCTGTGGCTGAAACCCACGCTGGAAAATGTTCAAACCAGCAGAGCATGAGAGGAGCAAACAAAGGTTGGAAGTGTTTCGGCCTACGTGTGATGTAGGAATTTCTTAGCAGATGCCTGTGGTGGTTCTCCTGTGCAAGCATTAAACTTGTTTAGTTTGAGTCTACAAACTGCCTAATTAGTTAAAAGGGTGATCTGTGCTGCAGGATGAAGTGTAATTCCTGACTTGAGCTCACATTTGCTGTGTCCTCTTAGTCAGTAGTGGTATTTCTGCTTGAAGTTCAGTAAAACTCAGCAGCTGTGAATTTGTCTCATTGGGTGCTCTCATTTGCACAGTTCTGTCTCCAGCCTTTAAAAAGACACAGTAATAAGCCTGTGCATGGGTTTGTGTGTTGTTGCTTAGTGGCTGTGTTGGTGTACAGCCCATGTGGTCTCTGTGTAAAACCCCCAGTTCTGAGGCAGCAGCTGGATTTTGTGAAATATTGGGTAACCAGGTTACCAGGTTAATGTCTGGTACTTCTGACTTTCAGGCATGTGAGTTTGTAAAAAATAACTTGCATTATGTTCAGTTATTGAAAGTAAACATGTGCCAAAGCCCAGTTTTTGGATCCAAATGCGTGGATCCATAGTTTCACTGGAAGTGAACACTGATTATTTTCTTTCTAGTAGAGCAGTAACATTTAAATAACCTGTACAATGACTTCACTTAATAGCTTGGCTGCAATGATACAATTCCAGTTTGCCTGGATGAAAAGGTCACTCAGCACAGTATTTAGAATTCTCAAATGACTGCAGATGCTCTGGATTCAATTAAACAAGTAATCAAAAGGTTGAGTGTGTTTGGATTAGGTTTGGGGCTTTTTACTCCCCCAAACTCAAACAAACCTGGCTTTTAAACACAAAATGTCTTTCTATTGAACAGTTATCTTGCATGTTTTAGGGTAAAATTAACTGGTTTTCCCTTTTCCAGCTATGATTTTAGAAACTCCAGGACAGGAAATCTGGTTTTCCACTTTGAGAATGAGTGAACTTTCCCTATTGGTGGATTCTTTAACACAGCCAATAAAAACAAAGCACTGTTACTCCAACCACTGGAATCCCCCTCATTTCTAAGGAAGAATGAAAAAGAAGCAATCCTGGACCTGCACTGTACAGAGTGAAGAAACACTTCTGCCTGGTGTATGTGGCATTCACAGTAATGATGGTTCTGAGATGAGGATGCAGTTTACAAATGTGTCACTGAGGAACTGTCATTGACTTCACAAATACTTGACCCTGTCTCGAAAAAAGACTTTCAGGCAAAATCTCTGCAATGGGACACAGAGGCCACAAAGAGGGGAAGGTTTTGCTGTAGTTTCTGGTTCTACTGCTTGTAATTTTTAAACACAGAGTTGGAAGGGCTGTGGGGCAAATCCAATGGCAGTAAATGACCTGGAAAGTTCTAAGTTTAATTTTCCGTTACTTGAAATAGATGAGTATTCAAGTGTAAGATAAATGTATTTTACTTCATAACTGCATTAACTTTGAAGGCAGTGTAGAAGGGTCAGGAACTCCTCCTTGTTGAGCTCCTACACCTGCACACACACATCTCCCTACTTCCACCACGGGGCAGAGCCAAGGCTGGTCCTGCAGCCCCTCTGCTCCCACCTTGGTCCCTGCAGAGTGCTCCACTCCTGTCCTCACCATCCCACGAGCAAGGAAAAAAGGAATTGCTGCCATTCTCCATCGCTTGTTGTCCTCCACCCACCGTAGGATCTAATTCCAGATGTTTGGTTTACAAAGAAAAACAGTTTTTAATGACCTCTGGCCTTCTTCCTGACACTGTCAACACTTACCATGTTACACAGCACCTCCTTTTTTTCCCCCAGCAAATCAATTTTGCAGGGTAGCAGAAGTACACAGTGTCTCACCCTTATGTTACTGCTGCATTTTTAGTATACAACACTTTTATTTTGGGTCTTTTTTTTAACTCTAATGATTGCTTTTCTCCTCAAACTTGTGCAAAGAAATCACTATGCGAAGAACTCAAATCATTTCCAATGTTCAGAATATCTTGATTGACTAGAAAGTGTTATTCTGTTGCAATATTTGATTGTATAGAGACACACTGTATTGGTATGAAAAAGCAAAAAAGGCTGTGTATAGGTTTTTGGTACTATGTACCACCTCTTATTTCTCTCATACCCAAGCATTCATGTACTTAAAACATACTATATTTAATTGTGTTTTGATTTAAAATATATAAATATTAAAATTTGTGTCGATTTTCTGTTTTCATGGGGTTTGAAGTTACATGGGATGGGGTTTTTTATGTGAATTTTAGGGGTAATTTTGCCCTCATTTCTTAATGGATTAGGTTAATGGCAATGTGGTGAATAAGATTAATTCTTATTTAAATAGTAAATAAGTTGTTCAATCACAGGACATGGCAGAAGTTGGGCTAGGAAAGCTGTAAAGGGGCAGGGGTTGGTCCTGAAGTATTGAACCACATTAACTCTTACCTATTTTAGTGCACCCTGCCTCAGTTTCCCCCGTGGGCAGGATCCCGACCAATCCTGGGCATGTTCAGGGATTACAGCTCCCAGATTTGGGTATGGATATTGCTCAGGGCTGCGTTTCCTTAAACTGTGGGCCGGATTGAGTGTGAGAGGCTCGGCCCATCTTGAGTTTTGGCACCAACCCCCCGAGGTTCTGGACCCGCGGGAGTTGTCCCCGCCCGGCCTCGAACCCGCGGCCCCGGGAAGCGCCGCGCTCACCGCCGGCCGCCAGGGGGCAGCAGCGCCGCGCTCGGCGCTCCCCGCCCGCTTCCGGCCCACGTGGGGCGGGCGCGCACATGGCCGCGGTGAGCGGGACCGGGAGCGGGACCGGGAGCGGGGCCGGGATGGGCAGCACCTGGAAGCTGCAGGGGTGGGAGTGCTGCGGCGCTCCGGGGTCTCCTCGCCCTCTCCTGGGGTTCCCCCGCGCGGCTCCTGCTCGGTGCGGGGCGTTTCTCCCTCCCACGGGCCCTACGCGGGTCCCCCTGTAGAGGTTCCCTCTCCCCGGGCGGGGGTCGCTGCCGGGATGCGGGGCTGTGCCCGCCGCCCGCTGGGGTTCCCCGCGCTGAGCCCGCTGTCCCGCAGAACATGTCCCCGGACGAGGAGGATGTGCAGCGGCTCCTGATCCAGTTCCGCGATGAGGCAGGGGAGTGCCTGGGCTCCCCCTTCGACGTCCCGGTCACCATCACCCCGGACAAGCTGCAGCTGGTCTGCAACGCCCTCCTACAGAAGGTGAGACCCCTCCCGAGCTCCCCGGCACCCCCAGCCCGACCCGGCGCCGCCCCTCGCTACCTCACCTGCCCTTCCTCCCGCAGGATGAGCCGGTGCCTCTGGCCTTCTTCGTCCACGATGCCGAGATCGTGGCGTCGCTGGAGAAGACTCTGGCAGGGCAGAGCGTGGAGACAGAGAAGGTCCTGGACATCATCTACCAGCCGCAGGCAGTGTTCAGGGTGCGGGCGGTGACACGCTGCACCAGCTCCCTGGAGGGACACACCGAGGCCGTCATCTCGGTGGCTTTCAGCCCCACGGGAAAGTACGAGGGTGTGGCTGCAGGCGGGGATCAGGACAAAGCAGCAGCTGCCATTGTCCTGTCTTGGGGACACTGTGCTGAGCTGTTCCCCCTCTCCCAGGTACCTGGCAAGTGGCTCTGGAGACACCACTGTCCGTTTCTGGGACCTGAGCACGGAAACGCCGCAGTTCACGGCCAAAGGTGGGTGCTGGGGAGTGCCAGGAGGGCGACCTGTGACCCCCTCCCTCATGGACCCCCTCTCTGCCTGGGGGACAAGCAGGGCAGAGCCTGCTGCTGTCTGAGCTGGGACTGCAGCCTGGGGAGGGAGTAGCTCTCTTTGGCAAAGTAGAGAAAGAAGGGCTGGCCAGGAGGAACAGAGAGTGGCTTCCTGCTGGGACACCAGGGACAGTCCCAGCTCTCCACTCACCCCCACTCGTGCTCTCTCTGCCAGGTCACCGGCACTGGGTGCTCAGCATTGCTTGGTCACCTGATGGCAAGAAACTGGCCTCGGGCTGCAAGAACAGCCAGGTACCTGTGGGCTCCCTCAGCATGGGGCTGGGGGGGATTAGGGGTGTTTCTTGTTTCTTCAGGGGTGTCAGGGGTGTATCCCACTGTTTGGAGCAGGATTCCCATTCTCCAGAGGAGCTTTGTGTGTGGAAGTGTCACGATATTGCGAGAAGCCTCTCTGTGCCAGGCAGTGCTCTGGCATTGTCACCTTGGGGAGCTCCTGCTGCTGAGTCCTGCTGTTTTGTGGCAGACGCTTTTCCCTCTGTCCAGGAAAGAGTCCAGGCTTTGGATGTGGTCCTTGGCAGGCAGCTCCATCACGAGGGAGGTGTCTGGAGTGAGGATGGGTCAGGGCTGCTGTTGGCGTGATCCAGCCGTGCAGCAGCAGCCTGGTCACAGTGTTCCCACACAGACACGGCCAAATTCCCTCTTGCACAAATGTGAAAGGAGTTCAGCCCTCGCTGTGGGGCAAAACTGGTGTGCCTGAAGTGCAGAAATGCCTGGGGAAGGAGGAATGTGTGGTTAAATGGGAGCTGAGCTCCTGAGGGGCAGTCGCTCTCTCTGACCTTCGAATGGTCTGGGAGCAATGACAGCACTCACAGAGCTGCCAAAGTTGTGATGCCAATCCCAAGGAAATGTCCTGGGCCAGGGTGGTTCAGCCATGGTTTGGTGCTGTTCTGCCTTTAATTGAACCCAGAGAACTGCTTGTCCTCCTTTTCCCTATTTCTCCTAAGTTCTTAGTAGAAGATGACTAATGCCTTGGCTCTTAAGATGAACATTTATGTAGAGAGAGAATCAACAAGAGAAAACCAGCATGTGTCCCACCCACAGCATCCGATAATCAGCAGCGTTTAGCTGTGGCTTTCACTGTGCTCTGCAAACACTCGCTGAGTTTCTGGCACGGAGTGGCTCTTTGGGGACTGTATCCTTTTTGAGTTGAGTCAGATAACTTTGTAGCAGCAGTGCTGTAGGCAGACAGGAGGGCAATCAGGTCTCATTCTTTTGGGTGTCAGCTGATTGCTGCAGGGATTTGGAAAGGCATCCAGCCCCCTTCCCCTGCCTGCCAGTGCAATCACGATCCCAAGGACACCTCTGCTTTCTAAATGGAGCTCCAACGTCTCTGGGATTCACATGATGTCTGTGGCCTGACGTGACCCTCGTGCTTCCTCTCTTGCACAGATCTTCCTCTGGGACCCAGCCACTGGCAGCCAGATCGGCCGGGTGCTCTCTGGCCACTCCAAATGGATCACATGTCTGTGCTGGGAACCGCTCCACAGGTGAGTGAGTGAAGGGGCCAGCTCAGCCCTTTGCTCCTGTGGAAAAGAGCAGCCTGACCTGCAGGGCATTGCTTCTGTTTGCCTCTCTCCTGTTACGGGAAAAAGCCCACCTAGAACAGCTCTCAAGGTGAGCTGGGAGCCAGGAGTCCCAGCTGCTGCTCACAGTCCCTGGGAGTTGCTGGGGAATCACTGCCAGGCTGTGTCTCTTTTCCCCTGGGAATAAAGCCACACCTGCCTGTGGGAAATGCTGCTTTTGTGGTGCTGGACAAACACTGATGTGCTGAGGTGGGAGCAGGGAAGCCTGGTGGTGTCCAAGGGCAGAGCACTCCTTTCTGCTCTCCTGATCCTGCTGGCCTCTGTCATCCTGTTTGTTTATCATCAGGGATGATTAACTGTACAATCCCCTTATCCCTTCGATCAGCTAAAGCTCCCTCTGGGAGAAGTGGGTGGAAGGGGACAGTTGTAGCCATTAATCCAAGATGTTACAGAAATAAATAAAAAAAAGAAAGAAAAAGGGCCCCTTCAGAGCAGAGCCTTGCAAATTGAATTTGCCAGTAGGAAGCTCCAGCTATTTGCAGACAATTAACTGGATTAGCAAAAAAATGATTGTAAGGAAGATGAGGAAACGGGGAGGAGAGACATGACCCTGCCAGAGCTGCAGTTCTCCTTCTCCAGCCAGTTCCAGTGTAGTGGGAGGGGCTGTGCTGTTCCTCACTGCTGAGGAACACTAAAGATGTGCAAAGGACAGAGGGCTGTGGCTGCCCTGTCCTTGCTGGGTTGTGGCCAGCTGCTTCCAGATGTGTTCAATTTGCCCCCTGAGCCACAATGGATGTGGATGGACAGAGTTCCTTTCAGCCCTGTCAACACAACAGCACTCTGTCCACAGGCTGGAGATGAAGCATGGCAGAGGCAGGGGAACATCCAACACATTCCCAATGCCATGGGTCTGTGCTCCCTGTGTGAGGCTGATCCCCTCCCCAGGGCTCTCTCCAGCCTGTGCCCAAGGAAGGTGCCACTTTGTGGTAACCTCACTAGCCAGTGGGTTAAAGTTGTGCAAGCAAAGTCACTGCCAAGGCCTCAGCTGCCAGGTTTACCCTGGATTGATTTCTCCAATGTGCAGCCCAGGAGTTGGTTTGGAGGAGGCATTTTGTCTGCCTCTCCCTACCTTGTGAGACCTTGTTCCCTGTAGGTCAGTGCTGTGCCCCTGACTGGCCTCTCTCTGATCTTAAGGCAAAAGAAAGTTGCATTTTGTTGTCTGCTGAACCCTTGAATCCTCTAGGGCTGGTGGGGAAGGAGCTCAGGGGAGCTGCACAAATGGATTTGATCTCTTTGCCCAGAAACCCAGAGTGCCGTTACCTGGCCAGTGCCTCCAAGGACGGCAGCATCCGCATCTGGGACACGCTGATGGGCAGGTGTGACAAAATCCTCACAAGCCACACGCAGTCGGTGACCTGTGTGAAGTGGGGGGGCGATGGCTTGCTCTACTCCTCCTCCCAGGACAGGACCATCAAAGTCTGGAGGAGCCAGGATGTAAGTGAGGGACTGTCCTTGGGCTGCTGGGCACACTGTGGGGTAGCTTTGTCTGCTCTTCCTGGCACAGCTTGTGCCCTGAAAAACAGAGCTGCTCTATCTTCCTGACCTGTCAGACCTGTTGCTTGGCACCATTTGCAAGGGGTATCTGTTGTGTGATGTTTTCATCCTTAAGAGCATTAAATGGGTCTAAAAGCTGGAAACATCCCTGCAGCAACCTGAGCTGATGGGTGTTGTGCAAGGGAAACTGATTCCTGAAGCTCAGCAGCGTTGTGTCTTCCCTGCTTACTTAACCTGCCTGCAGCTGGTTTGGAAAGTCTGGGGTGTGTCCCTGCAGGCTGGTGGCTGTGTTCTGCCCCTGTCTGAGGGTGGCTCTGTCCCCAGGGTGTCCTGTGCCGCACGCTGCAGGGCCACGCTCACTGGGTGAACACCATGGCCCTGAGCACCGACTACGTTCTCCGCACCGGCGCCTTCGAGCCGGCCGAGGCCACCATCAACCCCCAGGATGTCAAAGGCTCCTGTGAGTGCAGCACCCACCTTGGAGGCTGGGGGAGGACTGGTCATGCTGGAAGTCAAGATTTTTCTTGCCCATGCCAGGGTGGATCAGTCTGGGGGATGGGGAGGTCACTGGTAAATTGAGCGGTCACAAATGCTCCTGCTAAACCCGCAGAGCCAGGATTGGAATTGGCATGACAAGGTTATAAAATTTCTTTTCATCTAAAGATTGCCAATCTCTCTTTCACCCTCCTTTTCCCTTTTTCAGTGTCAGAACTGAAAGACAGGGCACTGCAGAGGTACAACCAAGTCCGGGTAAGTCCCTTTTGTCCCTGCTGTCACTGGTGAAAGCAGTGGACACCCCAACACTGGTGTGCTTCCAAGCTCTCCACACCTGGCTTGTACAAAACTTGGGCTCTTCCATCTCTTTTTCAGGGCCAGGAGCCAGAAAGGCTCGTCTCGGGGTCAGATGATTTCACCCTGTTTCTTTGGAGACCAGCAGAAGACAAGAAGCCACTGGAGAGAATGACAGGCCACCAGGCATTGATTAACCAAGTCCTGTTCTCACCAGACACCCGGACCATCGCTAGTGCTTCCTTTGACAAGTCCATAAAGCTCTGGGATGGTAGGACAGGAAAGTGAGTTGGTTTGTTCTGTTAGAGGTGGTGCTGGTAAGGAGTCTGTGTGTAATGCTCAGGGCACACAGGGCTGGGCCCCAGATCGTTGCCAGCAGCTCCCTGGTGTGTTCAGCATCTCTGTAGCTTCAACTCATACAAAGTCACTCTGCTGCCTCTGTGTTTTTCTGCCCTTGGGAAGTCTTGTCTGGCTTTTCTTGTGTCAGGGTGTCTGTGCTTGGCTCTGAGTGTGCAGCCCCACTGTGACTCAGCCACAGCACTGCCTGGCACCTGTTTGCACACCCTGTTGCTGCAGGGTCAGTTCTCCGGGGCGGGCGCAGCTGTGGTGGGATGGGATGTTCCACTCCAGTGATCTCCTGAAGATGTGTGTGTTGGGAACTGGAGACTGACCCAGTTTAAACAGTTCTTGTGCCAGAGAACAGCTTGTTCTGGATGATGCAAATTCTTGTAGTTACAAGAAGTGCTGTTGGTGTTTGGATGCTCCTGTAATCCAGCTTTTAGCTTTCAGCTGCAGTTAACTGGAACTGGTGAGCTCTTGGAGGCAGCAAACCAACCTTAATGCTCATGAGCTTGGCTTTCACGTCAGTGATTTTAAAGGTCCTTCTAAATCTTGGGCCACTCAGCCAGAGAGGGAAGGACACACCTGTGCAGTGAGGCTGAAGTGTTGCCTGCTGGATAAGGGTCTCTTGTGTGAGGGGGTGAGATGAGGAGGCATCCTCCAGAAGGTTCTGAGCCCACTTGGGAGAGCTTTTGGACGAACTCTGTCTAGCAATTGACTTCCTGGAGTAAGCTGGGCATCCTGTGACTGTGCTGGTGGAGAAGAAACATGAATGCAAGGGCAAGTTTGGAACAAAGCCTGCTGCTCTGACAGCCTGTCCTTGTCCCCAGGTACCTGACGTCTCTGCGGGGCCACGTCTCGGCCGTGTACCAGATCGCCTGGTCAGCCGACAGCCGCTTGCTGGTGAGCGGCAGCAGCGACAGCACCCTCAAGGTCTGGGATGCCAAGACAAAGAAGCTGGCCATAGATCTGCCTGGCCATGCAGATGAGGTGAGCTCCCTGCTGGGGCTGAGGGGTCTGGGAGGCAGCAGTGACCCCTCCTCCCAGCACAGGTGACTGATTTCCATCACACCAGGTGTATGCAGCGGATTGGAGCCCGGACGGACAGAGGGTGGCGAGCGGAGGGAAGGACAAGTGTTTGCGGATGTGAGTAACCTGTTTGTCCACGAGGATGTTGCAGCTACTCCGTGTGTCCCTCAGAGCCACAGTGCCCTTGCAGAGCCCCGTGTGGTTAGGGCATGATCTCCTTGCAGAGAGCACTGTGTCACATCCCAGCTGGGAGACCTGACCTCTCTCAGGGCAGGAGCTGTAGCTGAGAGATAACTAGAAAGCAGAGCCCCTCCAGCCGAGCAGTCAGGATGAAATTTGACTCAGATATTTTGACTCCTGGAGAGGGAAAGGAACAGTTGCACCAGCTGGTCAGGTCTTCCTTTCTGACCTTCTTCCCTCTCCCAGTTATGCAGACAAATTCCTGGGAGCTGGTTGCCATTTGACTGTGGCTGGTGACCCCAGTCCCTGTGGTGCTGCTGTTGCCTGGTGCCTGCTGGGCAGAGCTGTGCCCACCACAGGGACACAGCAGCTCTTTCCCTTTCCAGATGGCGTCGATAGGAGCAGTGACATGGAGCTGCTGGTCCTGCCCTCAGCACAGACCTGGGACATCTCCACAGTGATGGATGAAGAGATTGACCCAGACATGGCTCCGTGTTCCCGTTGGCAACTCTCCCTCATGGACCCTTTCCTTATATTTATTTAAGGAAATTTTAATTTTAGTTCTTATTAAGAGCTGTGCATTGTAGGATGATTTCCTCTGAACATCACAGGAGGGATATCTCATCTGCCTCCATCTCAACTGGCTTCTTATTGGAATTTCAGCCTCACAGTAGCCATTGTCCTGAAAGGGGCAAGCAAAGGGTGGAGATTGCTTGTGCCCTTTTTTGCTCTGTGAAGAATCCTGTGGAGAAGAGGGTTTTAGGGGAACAGAGAGGGTTGTCCTTGTGTGGCCTTGAGAGAGAGAGAAAAATGGGAAAATTCAGCACATCATTCCATTGCAGAATTGTGCCTGGCTGCGTGTCTGGGACAAAGATCTGCTGAGAATGAGGACTTGGGGCTTCTCATTATTCCAGGGAGGTTTTGCCTTTCCACACAGCCCCATTTCCCTGTGGGCTGTGCTGAGCATTATCTGCCAGTGATCCTCTGCATCCACAGCAGATCACTCCTTGGCTAATCTGTTCAGGGTGCAACAGGCCTGGACTTCAAATGACTGCTGGAGCTGTGCTGAGTTTCCAGGTTTCAGCAGCTCTTGGGAATGGGAAAATGAGAGTGAACAGGGGAGAGAGTGCCCATTTCCCATCCACCACTGGCTCAGGGGGAAGGAAGGGCAGGGTGGGGAAGAATGGAGCAGGAATTCTGTGTGCCACTTGTCCCTTGCCCTGGATACGTGCTGACAGCAGGGCTGGGACAGACACAGAAAATAGCAATACTGCCATTGCACAGGGCTGGCTCCTTCTGGAATTTCTCAAATGCATTTACTTGCCCAGTGGGTGAGAGGGATTCACACTGTCAGCTGGCTATTTGTAAGTTTGCTTATGAGCCTTTTTATCAGTCAGTTCAGGCTTCCAGCCATCATGAGGTGAATAGACCTAGAACTAAGTGTTTATTTCCAGGATGCTTATGAAACAGAGAAAATCAAGATGTGATTAATAAAGAGCAGAAATTATACTGTCAGATTTAGTTGCAGTGGGTTAGCATGAAGATCAAAACATTCTCCATAGCCCTCATATGCAGTGATTACTACAACTCAGAACAGGAGTTTGGGTCTCAGATGCTTCCCAGCTGCAGAAGATGCATTTTAGGACTTTATCCCTGCTGGCAGGATTGCTTTGGAGAATTAAAATTGTGCAGTAATGGCCTTTTGCTTGTCTGCAAGTGTTCATGTGAGCCAAAGGCTGGAACAAAGGGTTAAATCTTTAATAGGATTGAGAAGACAATCAGTAGTTCCTGTGAGTATCTCCTCCTGCCAGCCAAGCCAGCAGGGATCTATCTCTATGGGATCTTTTGGGAAGAGCTCAGTATCCCATACCTGTTCTTCCATTAGGGTGCTTCCTTCAGCTGGTTCCTGCTTACAGGGAAGGCCAGGTTGCATCCATCTGCACAAACAAAACCTTTTGTGATTCACTGAGGTAAATGTGGGACAGGGTGGTCTAAAACCAGCTGCTAAGTCTGCCCTTGGGGAGAAGAGGAGCAGGTCACTGGTAACAGCCAAGAAGCCTGCCTGGTTTCCAAGTTTTTTGGGGTGCTTGTGCTAAAGGAAATGACCCCCCCCTTGGAAGTTCAGCTCTGTCCCCAAGTCTGAGGGGCAAGCAGCAGCTCCTGGTTGCAAGTGGCTCTTCCTGAGTGAAGAATCATCTGCTTCCTTCCCTGGAGTTCTGCTCAGGGTCACTGTGCCCTGTCAATCCATGGTGTGTTTTGTGTTGGAGGCAGGGATGTATCAGAGCCCAGGGACAGGATCCTGCCTGTGGGAACTAGCCTTGGCTGTGTAGGTGTACCTAAAATATCAGTGTACCTTGCCCACTGATTTCCAAACCAAAGCAATCACTGCCCTTTTGACCATGCTCTTGCCATCCCTTCAGACTCTGCCTCTGTGACACAAGGCCTGATTAGAACTCACCTTTCTAATGCTGGAGCAGAAAGGTTTTCCAAGGGGAAGTGATTCCTCTTGAAGAAAGAGAGGGCCTTGCAACTAAGTTTAAACCAAAATAAGCTCTTGGCCTTAATCTTCCTGTGATCTGATAGCAGGTAGATTTTTGAACCACGCTCTGTGATGGCTTTGCATGTAAACCAAATTGTATTTTCTTATCTAAGCATCTGCTGCTATTTTTACCATTCATACAGCACCAGCCTCCATGCATACTAAGAGCTGGCCCTGCTCCAGCTGTATTCCTTAGCAATTCCCTGCCACTCCTGCCTCCCAGTTTTATTTGAATGCGGCATTTCCCGGGCCTGGCTGCAGTCGGTGCCTGCTCAGCTGCTGCCCTTCCCTCCCGAGCTGGCTCTGCTTGGGAGGAGCTGCAGGAGCCTCCCTGCTCCTGCCACGCTGGGGATGGGAGCTTTAATGAGCTAAGCTGGGCAATTGCAGATGCAAATTGGGGTTGATGGCGTTATTAATGGGGGAGATGTTACTTTGTGTTAAAGGACAAGCCTAGGAGGTAGGCTGGAGCTTTGTGATTGCGTTTCTGGGATCAGCAGCACCAACCTTACAGAAAACCTACTGAAATGCCTGAGCTTTTCCAGTGCTGTTTGATAGGAATTCTGGGATCTGCTTCCATGTTTCAGTCCAGTTTCTCCTGAGTTACTCATTAAGCATCCCACACAGGTTTTCTTACCACAAGGGCGTTATTTTTCACTGGTAATACAAGAATAATTTTAAGCATAGCCAGAAACTGTCCTGCAGAGCCCTCTGACACTTTCTCCTTTAAAAGCTCAGCTGATGCCACCATTAATTTTGTTACAAATCCCAATGGGAGGACAGTAGTGATAAGGCCTGGGAATTGTGCCAGGCCTCTGAGGAAGGTTTACCTGTCTAATGAAACCCTGAGTGTGATGGAGGGGGGAAGGAAGGATATGGTGAGAACACCTGGAGTGAAGTTGATAGCTCTGAGGTGAGCAGGATGCTGTCAGACTCCTACCTTTGGGAGCTGATTTAGATAAGTGAGGCCTTAAAATCCATGTGAAAACTCTTACTTGGGGCTGTGTCCTGCTTATCCATGCAAGTGGAGTGTGTGTTGTGTTCCCTGGTCCTTGGAGCCACATGTTCCTGTCCTGTTCGACTCAGATGATCTCTTGAATATTTTCCCAGATCTGTAATTTAATTTCCATATGCAAGTTTATAGCCTGGGGGGAGAGAGAGAGAGACAAGAAAAATCATTCAATGAATAGGAAGAAAATGAACTTCATTCATTGTTCTGCATGAAAAGTAGGAAAAGCAGCCTTGTTCTGCTTTTTTTTTTGGGTCAGCCCAGGCATTATTCAGGTTTCTACCTCAGGGCTGCATTTTGGTGGTGTGGTATGGCACAGAAGGACTTGCTGTGAAGTCCATTAGTGCTTTTGAGGATGAAAGGCGCTAAGAAAACTCAGGGCAGTGATGTCTGTGTTCTGTGGAGCTGCTACCAGATGAAAGCATCCTTCTCTGCACTCAGACAAGCAACCTGGAAGTTGCTAATTCCTTCCTTGATGTGCTGCTCTGGTGCTCAGAAGTCCTGGCTCACAACTGAGGGACTAATTTGAAGCAAGGTGGTGCAGCTGGGAAGGAGCCCCAGAGCCATCTCCAGTAGTGCTGTTCTGTTTTCTTCCCTCTGTGAATGGTTGCAGACCTGTGGGTTGCTGGTGGTCTCTCGGTGAGCTGCAGCTCCTGCAGAGTGGGATGTTGAAAGTGAACCAACCCAGGACAGGGTGCTCCGTGTTTTTGAAGGATCACTGGGGTGATCAGGCAGGTGCATTGGGTGTTTTAGTGCACGGTTGGAGCAGAGCAGCCCCTGGGTGCTGCGGGACACAGGCTGAATGCTGGATATCCGTGTGTGGGAGCAGCAGGAGCCCCACGGGGTTATCCTGCATCCTCTCCCAACATCTCCGGCTCCTTTGGGAAAGGTGAATCCAGCCCGTTCTGCCTCGGAACTCTTCCAGCACCAAAAGCAAAGTGCAGGTGCCGTTTGTTGCTGGACACGCAGCCGCCAGTCAAGGACCCAGCTGGGAGGAGTGACCCGCATGCAAATGCCGCAGCCTCCAGCGAGCGCTGCCGGAGCCCTCGGGTGCCGCTCGCCGGGATCCCAGCGCAGGGTGTTTTGTTATTCCGGTCAAACCTCGCTGCCGCTCCTGGCTGTTTGTCCTTGCTGTGCCGAAACAAAACTGCTCCAGGGCTCCAGCCCCATTAGGAGGACAAAAGGACGTGAGGCAGCGCTGCTGCCGAAGGGAAATGTGTCGGGAAATGTGTCTCGGTTCGCAAGCGTGATGCAGATTGGGTGGCTTAGTCATGGCTGTTGTGACTTTTATCTGTTCAAACGGCATCTTCTGAATGAATTTGTTTTTCAGCTTCCCTAGAATGTAGCTTGTGACATTGATCTTGGGGTGAGGATACACGCTGACGCTGGGAGGATTAATACTGAAGTGAGAATTGGTGGATGGCAATAAACAACCAGTTCTGAGGGAAATTATTTTTATGAATCAGAATCTTTAACACATGGAGGCTTGTGGGCTTTTTCCTGGTTTAAAGGGACACTGTGAAGCGTATCACAAAGTGTCTGTTACTACCAACACTTTAATTTATGATTAACTTAGAATATTTTTACATCTCATTTACTCTTTCCACGGGGGTGTTCTGAGCTGTTGAAATTACTGGTCAACTCCACTTTCCTGGTGTTGTTTGTTAGGGTAGTGCCATGGGTGGATTTTGGGTGGGAGCTCAAAACTTCACCAGATAAAGGGGGGATTCAGTTTTGAGGGGTTTAAAAGCCCTTTGGTTCTCTTTGGCACAAAAGAGATTTCTTAGGACTCCTCTCATAGCTTAAAATGTCCTTCATAAAACTGTCAATCCTTAAGAATCTCTTGCTGGATATTTTTTACATCTAAGTTCATTGTTGGGGGAGAAGTCTTTACCTGAGGAGGTCCTGAGGAGGTCCACTCCTGGTTTGGAGTGTTGGAAAGCCAAGGGAGATAAGTGAGGAACAGGGACAGGCCCAGCTGCAGAGCGATTCACTCAGGCTCTGTTTTGATCTGGTGACACTGAAAGCAGAGCCTGGGTCACGTCAGGGAAGGCACAGCACAGCTGTGTGGGCTCACAGCCTGCATCCA